CGCGTGTGCGTGCATGAGCGTTTTGTGTGTGTGTGTGTATGTGCGCTCCTGTCTGTCTGTCTGTCTGTGTGCCGGTTTGGAAGCATATTCGTATGCTTTGTATCTGTTAGGAAAGAGCGCAGCCGGCGTCTTAGCAGAACGGGAACGACACCCCGACCGGCAACAGACATACATACTGTCAAAACAGGAAAAGTGAGAAGCAGGATTCGAAAGGAACCAAATAATTAACACACCCACATTACCAGAAATGTGCGCATGCGTATATGCCAGAAGCGTGTCAACACCACATTACCAGAAGAAAAGGAAACATGATCACCTGGAGTCGCCGCATCTCCTCCTGACTCCGATAGTAATTGTCGGTTTCCCTGCCGTACAAGGATGACACAGAAACACACATACATACACATGCATACATTTGCGTAACGAAACGAAACGTCACGATCCGTTCCTTGTGCATCCGTATGTTTGATTGGAAGTTTGTGTAAATGGGTTTATAAGTAAATGTGGATGTGGGGGGAGAAGAGAGCTTCAGGCTCCGGAACTATTGACAACAGAACAAACCAAATGTACGACCCAGAACGTGGACATGTGTATTACACACCCGGAAAGACGAGCCTACCACCCAGCGCCCCTTGTACGTCAATGTCTACGTCAACTATATTAATGTTGACTACGTATGAATGTCTGTGTGTACATGCGTGTAAGTGTGTATGAAGGGGTTTTGGCGCCAAAAACGCAGGCTCATGAAAAACACCAACTCCCCCCGTCCTTCACTCACTTTCCCGCCGCCAGCACATACACCACACGGCCCTCTCGATGTCGGCCCGTACGACCCATCCTCTGGACTTGGCGAGTGGGTGAGGCGCTGCTGTCGTAACATACAATGAGATCAACCTGAGGTCCTCCAAGGGGGGCGGGGGGGGAAACGGGGGGAGGGCGGGTTGAAGTGGGTTTTGCGGGGAAGGGTCCAAAACACGTCAAGGTGCGGCGGGTGGTGTGTGTGTGGGGGGAGAGGGGGGAAAGATGAACCACAAACGAGTGAAGCTGCTGCCAGGGCAAGAGTGTACCAGACGTAGAACTGACCGAAAGGCGTCCTTAAAGGCGGCGACCTCGGGATGACGTAGTGAAGATGATGTCGGAAAAACTACCTACCTAAGCCGCCAGGACTAAAAAAGCAGAGAAAGCAGTAATGCCAAGCCGTAAAGTAGGTGTAGAAAAGTAGGTGTAGAGGCGGCGGAGAAGTAGTAAAGCACTGCTGTCGTAAAGCTGGAATAAAGTTTGCTGCTGGCCTGGAGAACTAGCTAGTATGCAAGTGCTCCTCCCAAACCCCCAAAAAAACGCGCGACCGACCCGACTATCCTAGTCCGGCTGGCCGACCGACGCCAAACGCTATATACCGAAAAAGCTCGAACCCCCCTTTGGACTCACCTGGCCAGGCAGCAGAAGTAGCGGCAAGGGCACATGCAAAGCAGAAGGGTAGCAAGGTAGTGAGCAGGGTGCGATAAAGAACAAGAAAACATGCAAATGCTGCTGAAAAATATTTTAACTGGCTGCAAAAGAGTTTTAACTGGCTGGCTGAGGAAACATTTTATACTGAAAAGGGAAAGAGAGAAATGCTTAAGAAGAAAAAGGCGGCGCAGGAAGGCATGAGAAGTGTCGTACTGGACGAAAGGATGATGAGGCAATAAACAGGATGAATAGCAGGTAGGTATGGCCGAGTGGGGTGAAAGAAAAAAAGGACGAAGTGGAGAAGTGCAGGCAAGTGCGGACATGTGTGTAGAAGTGCGTAGAAGTGCGGGAGGACAAGCAGAAAAGTAGTGCGTGGGCCGGGGCCACATATGGCTCCCACCAACCCGCGCACACCAGGAGCATCTGCATGCAGCCCCGTAGTGCCTAAAACGTGGGGAACGGATAATAGCAGTAGGGACAGCGATGGGAAAAGGAATGCAGAGTAGGGAGTTGCAGAAGGATCAGTCAGCGATGAGAAGATGGGTAATTTGGAAGCAGGGTAGGGAGCATGTTCCGGATGTGAGAACGGATGTCAAAGCCATTACGGCGTTACACTAAGAACAGTTGGGGCCAGAAGAAAAGTTGGTGAGCGCATTGTATCTCAAGGCGCCGGCGCGGGTAGCCTTGAGCGATGAGCTGGGCCATGAGGTTAGCAACGGAATGCGCAAAATTGTGGACGTCGGTGATGATACGCTGTAACCTACGAAATTGGCTGAAGAAGATATTCCGCTTCGCTGCTTGATTAACAGAGGAAGAAGCGTGTACAAAACTGCAGCCGTTACGTATGGAATGTAGCAAGAGGGTGTCTAAAAAGGGGGTTTGCCTTCAGGGTGTTGCTGAATAGGTATATCAAGCTGAGGGGGGTAAATACCGCGCAAGGTGTGGGGTCCGACTGATTCCGATAGGTAGAAGAGGAGGGATGAAAGGTGTCGGTTTCCCAGAGAGAGTAGGTCGTCGAGATAACGTTTAGTAAACTGAAAATAGAGATAGAGCTTGGCATTACTGCTTTCTCTGCTTTTTTTGACCTGGCGGCTTAGGTAGGTAGTTTTTCCGACAACATCTTCACTACGTCATCCCGAGGTCGCCGCCTTCAAGGATGCCTTTTGGTCAGTTCTACGTCTGGTACACTCTTGCCCTGGCAGCAGCTTCACTCGTTCACGTGGTTCGTCTTCCCCCCCTCCAACCCCCTCCACCCCGTCCCACAAAACCCACCTCAGGTATGTCCAGTCCCTCCTCTCCGATGCAGGTGGCCACCAGCACGTTGAACAGACCGTCTCTGAAACCCTGGAAAGCGGGGGGAGCGGGGAAAATGGGGGGGAAGGGGGGAAAGTGGGGGGAAGGGGGAAGACGAACCACGAGGGGAGCGGGAGCGGGAGGGGAGAGGAAAGAGGGGAGGTGGAAGGACATACACTACACGCTACAAGGCAGGGAAAAACACGCTACAAGGCAGGGAAAACAACGCGTCCATTGGCCGAAGAACGCAACCAACTCATGTTCGAGGCGCAAGGCTAGGCATGAAGGGCCCCACAACTGGGTCCCATCATCTCCCCCCCGGCGGGAGGTTTTCAAAAGGGCTCCTCACCCTCAATTTCAACACGCACACACACACACACACACACACACGTGCGCTGGGATTTCGAGGGTAGGAACACAGCACATACGTGTCAGCCACGCCCACCCGCGTCCTCCTTCATCGTCGTACCTGAAGTACGGCACGCTGTTCCTCCTGGTTCATCGTCATGGTCGGCACCGCGGCTGCTGCACCGCCGCCACCGCCGGCGGCGGCCTCTTCACCGCCAGCTTCCGCCACCGCCGCCGCCGCCGCCGCCGCTGACCTACCTCTGCCGCTGCGGCCGCGACCCCTGCCACCAGTCCCCCTGCCGCCGCCGCCAGCCGCCCCCCTGGGGAATAACTACGTCGTACTGGTAAATCTAATACCAAGGTCAAACACCCCTCTAGCTCTGGAACATCACCAATACATACATATGTACATACATATGTACTAAGTCGAGGCGCCGTTGATCCGCTAGATTTGGTTGGATGCTGGTAGTGAGTTGCTGAACCCAACGAATACATTCTGAAGTCGGATGGGTGAATGGATTAGGGTGCCCCTCTCGCAGGGGACTAGTGAAGCTATACCACCCTGTAACAACATACATACATACATACGTACATACATACATACATACGTACATAAATGCATATATGCATAGTAATTGCATACATACAGCCGTACAGGCGCGCGCATAGACACGTTTACACAGTCGTCGTGCTTTCACAGATTTCCCGCCATTTCCAGGGTTTTTCCCCCCCATCCATAACCCCACCCCCACCCCCACCCCCCACCCCCCGGGCCACTCACCTCCCTGCACCCCGCGCTCCCTGACCCACAAACACCCGGGGGATGATGACCGGCGCGTGACGTCCTAAACAGGACACAATATCCGCCACCGTATCGCGGAGAGTGGTGAAGATAATGACACGTTTTGGGGGCAGGGGGTCCTCTTGGGGCGGCTGCTGGGGGGCCTGGGGGCCCGGGGGGGGCTGCTGTTGTCCGGGTGAATGCTGTCCTGCTGGCGAATTATGATCACCTGGCAATTGTTGCTGTTGCTGTTGTTGTTGTTGTTGTTGTTGTTGTTGCGATTGTTTGAGGCCGAAGTGTCGCAAGACGACCTCCTGCATTAAAATTCAGTTTCCATTACTTTGAGCGTGCAAAGGATTTTAAGGGTTTTTCTTAGGTGTAGCAGCAGTAGTCCTTACACATACATACAGACAAACCAAACACACACATACACACATACACACACGCAAAACATGCCGTACCTCCAGCCGCCGCATCTTGGGGTGGGTGTACCTCGCACATTCCTCCAGACGTTGTCGTACAGCCTGTGTGGGTGTTTGTTTTTGTGGTTGAGGGGTGTGTGGGGAGAGGGGTGTGTGGGAAGAGGGATGGAAGGAAGAAAAGGAAGCTTACTAATCTGATACCAACGTTGGGGGAAGGTGGAAAAAAACAGTCCGTGCAGGGGCAAAGGGCCGTACATTGGCAGCGTGTCGTACAGGGACAAAAGGTCGTACAGAGGGAGGTTTTTATTACTTCATAGGGCTCGAACAGGTCCTGTACGGGAATCCCAAATGCAGGATATTGAAAACACGCCATCCGACAAACCCAAACCCCCTCTTCTCACGTGACCCCCTCCCATCCCCCCACAGCCTCCGTACACAAAGATAAACACACACGAATCTCCCCCTTCCTACCCGCTCCTCCAATCCAATGACGTTGTTGCCCGCCTAGCCGTATGTGTCCAATCTCCCCCCCCTTCTCCCCTCCCTATTTCCCCACCTTCCGCCTGCATCCATCCTCCCCCCTTCTTCAACCCCTCACCCTCACCCAACCACTCCATCCCTCTCCAGGTTATTTCCCCCCCTCCCCCCCCCACATACATACGTACATACATACATACACACGTACATACATACATACCCATACACACCTTCCACTCGTTCCTTGCCACTAAGTCCCTCAGCGATCCCCCTCCGTTCTTGGCCAGCTCCACTCGGACCAGATCCGCCGCCATCTTGGCGCCCTGGCTGGTCAGGTGCTCCAGCAGGGTCGACAAGAACACGGCCTGGAAAGGAGCATGGGGAGGGGGTAGTTGACGAAGGGGGAAAGTCGGGGAGGGGAAAGTGGTGAGAGGGGGTTAAAACGAACCACTGGCGAGTGGAGAATCGGGGAGGGGTAAAAAGACGAAGCACGAGGGGGGAGGGGGGAGGGGGAAAAGGGGCAGGGCAGGGAAGGGGGGAGGGGGGAGGGGGAAAAGGGGCAGGGCAGGGAAGGGGGGAGGGGGGAGGGGGCGAGGGACGTGGACAAGGGGGAGGGGACGAAAGGGGGGGGGAAGGCGGGGAGGAGGAGGGGGAAGGGGAAAGGGACAAAAACGGTGTAAAAAGGTTAGAACACTCTCCATTACGTTTGCGTTATCTCACCCCGTAAAGTTGCTGAAATCATCCTGGTCGTACACGGTACAACATGTACGGCACATACCTGATTGAAAAGATTGTATATCTTGGGAATGGTTGACTTGTCCATGGATTTGTTGTCGGGCAGGGAGCTCTGGGTTTTCGGGAATCAGGGAATTTGTGTGAGTGTGCGAGCGAGCGCGTATGTGTGCGCGCTGTGTGTGTGTTGGGTAAGGGAGAAGTAATCGTACTCAAAACGCCAATTAGGGGAGACAATTAGTGAGGAGCGAGAAAAGGGGAGATGACGGGCTGTGCGAGTGGGGGGGGGGAGAGAATGCGAAGACGGGGTGAGTGGGGTGGGACCTGCGTGTGTATGTGTATGTACGGGGAGACACGAGAGGTGCGGGTGGGGTGACAGGGCAACGGCGGCAACGCGCCGCGGCGACGTCGCGGAGTCAGCAAAGAGTCCCTCAGTGCACTCCAAGCCCCAGACGCACCACACACACATACACACATACACACAGCCAAACCCTCCCCACCCCGGCCCTCACCCCTCCTTCAACCCCCATCCCCCACCCCCAACCCACCCCCACTCACCTGGAATTGCTTCATTTTGTTAATGAAGGAGAAACGCCCCACGTTCTCCGCATCACAACGGTCAACCACCTGTACAGCAGTACAACACATCCGTACACACACATACGCGGGCGATCGTGTACATATACGGCGAAACACGCCGAAACACGCACACACCCAACTTCGGCATTAAGGGCCCTGTAATGCAATGACACACATACATAGATACACATACACACAGAAAGCGAACACCCTCGCACCAACCCTATATCCCGTACTTCATCACAACCTATCTGGTTTTTCAGTTACCGAAACTTCTAAAACCCACCCTGTACTGCAACAGCTTGGCATTAACCCCTCGCAGTAGCATCACCACACTCTCCGCCACGGGCTGTAGCACTTCGTCCGGGAACACCTCCATCACATCGACCTGGTGGCAATAACAACGGGGGATGGGTGGGGGAGCGGGGGAAGTGTGGTGGGGGGAGGGGAAGGGAAGGGGAAGTGTGGGGGGAAAGGAGGGGAGATGTGGGGGTTATGGGTTATAAGCCCCAGACAGCAATTGTATGTCCCTTCCAGCCTCCACTCCGTTCCCCCCTTTTTCCCCTATTCTTCCCCCCTTTTCCCCCCAAAAACACAAAATACGGAACACATAGGGACATCTGACGGTAAAGAACGTAACGTACAGCTCCAGAATGACCTACCTTTTCCCCTCCTTCAATCTCTCACCCCTTTTCCGGATCAACTCCGCCCTCCCTTCCCTACCATCACCACCACCACCACCGCCATCACCACCCGTCTACTAAAGACACCCTCCCCACCCGTTTTCCCCCCCCCGGTCCCCCCTCACCCACCACACATTGACACATACACACGTACCTGTTTCTTGTGGCAGTACGGGCTCACATCTGGATCTTCGTTGGATTTGAATTCCACCCGGCTGATCCCCAGGTTCCGGATCACCTCCTGGACGGACTCGGGGCTGGATCCAGGGGTGGCGCTCAGACCCACCACACGGAACCGCAACTGCTCGCTGCGGAGAGTCTGCATGTATGTATGTATGTATGTATGTATGTATGTATGTATGTATGTATGTATGTATGTATGTATGTATGTATGTATGTATGTATGTATGTATGTATGTATGTATGTATGTATATATGTGTGCGGTTTTGCGGGGGGGAGAGGATTTTGGGATGAGGTCAAAAAAAGGGAAGGCCCAATGTACGGGTACGGGTAAGCATTCCTGTGAGTGTACGGATACAACCAGAATCACAACTGTCCTGAAACGTCCTTTTAAGCCCTACTGACTGACTGTACATATGCCGTAAAATACAACCGCGAAAACCCTACCTATACCAATCCCTGCCCCTCCCCCGCTTTCCCCCCACATTTCCCCCCAGCCCCCCCCCCTTACCCCCCCCCTTACCCCCCCCACCCCCCCCTACACACACACACCATATGCATCCAAACCCCCCCCCCAGCCCCACCACCCCCCTCTACACCCACAAACACGACACACCTGCAACGCAGTGACCGGCGCAGCCTTCCCGAGGGCCCTATGACACTCATCCACCACCAGCAACACCAACCTGCGGGTTGGGTTGGGAGGTCGGCAGTTGGTCAGTTATTCCGTTTTGCATCCGTGTCATCATGTGATTAACCCTTCCCTTCCTCCCCTCCCTTCCCACATCACCTACACGACAACACGCCTTTTACCTTTCCCGATACACACACACATACCCTTTTACACATACACATATACATACATACAATCACACACAAAAAGACATGAGGCATGTGCGGGACATGTACACACACACGAAACACACGAAACACGCACGCACACATACTTCTCTTTGGGGCAGGTTCCATTGGCGATGTCATTCTCCAGAATCTGGGGAGTGCAGAAAAACACTCGTCTCTGAGACCACTCCGCTGCCCGACCCTCCCCCCCTGGACCGCGAGTGGCGGTCAGCTGTACGATATCGGCCTACTCATGTGTGTACGGGGTGGGGTTTTGGGGGAAAGGGGAAATTTGAGGTGATTGGGGTTTTTTACGGTGTTTTTACAAATGGGAGGAGGTTTCAAGGTTTTAGGGTTATAATCAGGGAGTTTTCCGGATCTTCCGTACACGCGACGGGAGGGAGGATAAGTAACAGGATTAAGGAAATGCCAAAGAAAGGGATAGAGACGGGGGGGTGAGAGTGGCCTGTGTCGGTGTGTATGTATGTATATATGTGTGTATCGCGTGTGCTTTAAGGGGGGGAAATGGTGGGGAGCGTGTCAATACGACAGTTTATCTATGAGGGTCTCGGAGCAGGGGGATGAAGAGGTCCTCGTGTAGCCCAACCCGTACACACTCGTACGGTCGTACGATCGTACCTTGGGGATGCAGGTCTGTTCTTTGCAAGCCTTCATTTGTTGCTCCACGAGCGGTTTGGTGGGGGCCACAAACACAATCTTGCCATCGGGGAACCACCTGGGGGGGGGAGATGAAGGGGGGGAGGGGAAATCATGTGTATGTGTACGCGTGTGCGTGTGTATGCGTGTGTGTGTGTGGGTGGGTGTTTGAAACGTGTCGGGAAACTAAAATCCAAACTACCCCACCACCCCAACCCCCCTTCCCCTCCCTTGCTCCAACCCAACTCCCCTCCGAAACCCTACAAAACCTTAAACTAAAACCCAAAACCCCCAACACAACTGAAAACTCACCCCCCTCCGCCGGGCGCCATACACACATCCAGACATACAAACATACATACAAACACCTCATACCTGTAGTAATTGAGCATGACCACCGCCGCGACAAGGGTCTTCCCGAGCCCCGTGGGCAGGCAGACCAGCGTGTTGTGGAACAGAGCCGACCTCACCAGGGAGAACTGGTAGTCGCGGACGGGGAGGTCCTTCGGGTACAGCCACGTCCTGCATGTGTGTGCGTGTGTGTCTGTCTGTGTAAGTGTGTGAGTGTGTGTATGGGGGTTGTATGTGTACGTGAACGTTACAAGTATCTATCTGCCCGGGCCTGACGACACTGGCCACAGAGGGACGGCTGCCCAGCCCCAACGGAAAGACCGCCTAAGCTCTCTCCCTAAGCGGACGCGGGAAGAGGGGCACGAGGGGCCTCTGTCCCGTGTGGAAAATATATCTACGTATGTAAATGTGTGTAAATGTTCCCCCCACTACCCGCTCCATCCCCCCCTTCACACACTTCACTCGCTCGTGGTTCGTCTTTTCCCCCCTTCACACGCACCTTGCATGTGTCGCATGCAGCGCCATTCCCGGGTTGGCGCCCGAGCGGGAGGTTAGTGGCGCGTCAGGGACCCCTCCAGAGCCATTGGGGAGCGCCTCGGCCAGCTGTGCGCCACCAGCTACTGCTGCCGCTGCTGCTCCGTCGGCATCTGTGACCCACGGGTCGCTGGTGGTTGCGGCGGGTACCGGCAGCTCCGCAAACCCCGCCAGCAGCGCCCGGCCCTGCACGACCCGACACATATACATACACACACACACACACACAGAGAGAAAGGTACGTACATATAGTGTAGTACATATTTGTTTTTTAACGAACAAATTCGAAATGTAGGACGAAAACATTGGCAGGCAAGAAAAGGAGAAACAGACACGCATATGAGCGCGCTGGCGGACTCAAAGAGCGTTTCGGAGGGTTGACGTGAAAGATTGACACAACGGAAAATCCCTAACGTCCTAACGTCCTAACTAACCAACCAAGCCTCCAACAGTGATTTCCGTTCCTGGTGCGAAAATCGTCAAAATGTAAAAAGGGAATCGTCAAAAGGTCACCAGAGGACGTGAAATGGGAAACGTCACTGCCGGCACTGCAATGACCGTCATTGCACCCACCACCTCCGGGTCATCAACATCCAGAGGTGGCAGCTCCCGCTGCGGCGGGCCGCGCTGCTGATCGCCGGTACGGCTGTTTCCCGCCGTCAGCATCGGCGCTGCTGCCGCTGCTGCCGCCGCCACAGGCGGCGGCGGCGGCAGCGCCTCCCATGGCTGCTGCTGCTGCTGCTGCTGCCCCTGCTGACTCACCGCCACTGATCTCGCTCCGGATCCAAACATGCTCTCCCAGTAACCGGAACCCGAACCCGCGGCTGAGCGCCCCGCGGCGGCAATGGCGGACTCGCCGCCGCCGCTGCCCCCGTGGCTGTGCCCTGCTGGCGGCGGCAGCGGCAGCGGCGGCGGCGGCCGCACGATAGCTGGCCCTTCTTGCTGTCGCGGTGGTGATGAAGTTGAAGGCGCGGACGCCAGGCTCCGCCGCTGCTGCAACCGCTTCTGCAGCGGCACGTCCAGAAGCTCACCCGCAGTCCCTCCCGCCGCTGGCGGCAGCGACGGCGGCGGCGGCGGTGCCGTACGCCCCGGTGATGATGAGCAACCTCCCCACTGCCGCCACCCATCCCCCGCAGATACCCCCACAGCTGTCTGACCTCTACCAGGGCTTTTCCCCGGCGGTACGTTGGCGGCGTTTGGCGGCGGCGGCGATTGGACACCCACCACGGAGGAAACAGCGCCGCCAGGCATTGGCGGCGGCTGCGCCGGCGCCGGCGCCGCCGCGCCGCCACTGGCGACGGCGGCGCCTGGCGGCGGCTGTCCAGGTACCACCGCCGCCGCCAACCCGGTGACAGAGCGATGGAGTTGGGACTGGCCGCCATTGCTTCCTCCTCCAACAACAACTACAGCATCAGCACCACCACCAGCAGCTCCGAAACCACGTCCTGGTTGCTGTCCTGGCCACTGCTGCCGTAGCTGCTGCTGTTGGTAGTGCTGCAGCAGGTGGTTTTGATCGCCGCCAACGCCACCCATCAAACCTGGTGGTGGATGCTGCCCTCCGGCGCCGCCGGACGAAGGGGCGTTCCCACCGCACCATCCCTGCTGCTGCTGTTGTTGCTGCTGCTGTTGTTGCTGCTGCTGTTGTTGCAGCTGCTGCTGCTGTTTAACTTGCTGCATCTGACCATCCCACATTTTCTGCTGCGGCGGCTGCCATCCGCGATTTTGCTGCTGTAGCTGCTGCTGTTGTTGCTGCTGTAGCTGCTGTTGCTGTTGTAGCTGTTGTTGCTGTAGCTGCTGTTGCTGTTGCTGTAGCTGCTGTTGTTGCTGTTGCTGTCCTAGCCTTGCCTCAGGGCCCGGGCTCTGACTCCGTCCCCACCCTACCCCCGAGGACAAGGGCTGCACGGGGCAGCCGCCGCTGCCGCTCGTGTACTGCTCATGACCTGTTCCAGTCCCCCAGGTCGAGGTCGCAGCCGCAGCCGCAGGTAGCGCAGCCGCACCACCGCCAGCCCCACCACCACCAGCTCCGGAACCACCACCGTGCCCCACCCTGCCGGATGGCGGCTGCTGCATCTGGACCATCCCGGGGGGGTTGTCCGTCCCGGTGCGGGGTGCCCCCCTGGGTTTGACCCACCTGTCACGAATCTGTTGGGCCTTCAAAGCGGCTGCCCCCGGGTGCATCCCCGGGCCGGGTGGCGCCACCGCTGCTAGTGCTGCTGTTGGTGGTGCTGCTGCTGTTGGTGATGATGGTGCTGTTGGTGTTGGGCCGCCGGTATTGTTGGTGGTGTTCGTTGTAGTGCTGGGCGGCGCAGCGATCCATCTGGGTTGCTGCTGTCGCTGTTGCTGCTGCTGCTGTTGCTGCTGTTGCTGCTGTTGCTGCTGTTGTTGTTGCTGCTGTTGCTGTTGTTGCTGCTGTTGTGGATGGTAATTAAGATGACCCCTTGGGGAGCCCAATTGCAGGTACCCTGAGCCCTGTTGCTGTTGCTGGGGATGGGGCTGTTGGGGATGGGGCTGTTGGGGTTGGGGCTGTTGGGGTTGAGGCTGGCGCTGGGGCTGCTGCCAGCCGCGGGATGCGGGTGGCTGCTGTTGCCAAGGTGCTGATACCGTTGGCTCCAGTTGGCCTTGCGGCTCTGCGGTGGCGGGCTGTTGAGGCGGGGGGTGCAGATGCAGCTGACCGCGTGGGAGGGAAGGCTGGTGGTGTTGATGGTCAGCCGGCCGCGGCGGTCCATGGCTTGGCGCGGATGGCTGAGCGGTAGTGGTTACTGCAGCTGGCCAGCCTGAAGGCGGGAAGTTTGCAGGTGCTGTGGCTGTATGGATGGTAGATTGCTGCCAGGGGCCGGTAGCAGCAACCTTGGCGGCTACGCTGGCATCAGGCGCAGTGGAGCGGCCAAAAGCAGCAGCGGCATCACGTTGCAGGTGCCGCTCAACCAAAGCGTCAACGTCGATATCAACGTCCTGTGTGGTTTGTTAAGAAAGTAGAGTGCGGAACCGGTCTCGATGTGTGATATCGGAGAGGAGGTTTGTTTCTCGCAACGCAGCAGACCTACCCAATCATCATCATCCATGCCTGAACCTAGGCGAAGGAGCTTTTGGAAATTCTGATCAAGACGCCCTCTTAGCCCGCAGGCGGAGCCGTGGCAGTCCCCTCAGCTCGAGCATCTCCAGTTTTGCAGGTCGCTGCCAAAAGGAGAAGCCGCACAAAGCAAATAACATACAGTATCAGTATGCCCTTATAGATTGTCGAGAGAAGTGCAAATCCTTGAAGGCCTACAAAGAAATTCAGTGCAGCTCGCTAGTTTGCGCTGTATGCCTTCCACGAAAGGGCATCATCGCCGCTTATGCTTTTGTGCTTATTGCAACGCTGAATGGAAAAAAGCGTTTGTTGCTTGGTCAGTTTTAGGGCATGCTGTGCAGGCTGTGAAACCAGTAGACAGCTCCAAGATCCATGGCATGCGAGCAATGCATTTCCTGGCCAAGGCTAATTTATCGCCCCTCGACGCAAGCAACAGAATCGCTTATTACTCTTTGCGTTACATGTACATCTTTAATTCCATTATATTGCTATGAGTCACAACCACGCTGCTGGCGTGGACCATTTCATATTACCAAACCATTTTACTCTCTTGCCCACTGTACGGGTTGGCATTGATGAACGAAGACACGCATGTAACTATGGTACCATTTGCGCCACATATCCTTGGATAAAGCTCCGACGACGGCTTTGCATCGCTTACGTGTCATAATAGACGCGGTCGCTTCCGGAGAAGTTTCCCGGACAGCAACCAGGCAAAATAAGTAAATATTTATTGAAACAGCCTTTCCTGCGAAGATGTCAGCGTTCTTACACGGACAGAGTGACACGCTGAAGCTTCGGCAGCCACGTTCGCGGCGACAGCGATGGCGCCATCCTAACAACGTCCTTCAGTCTTCCATGCTAATAAACATTATATGCAATAGCTCCTCCCGCCGCGGAGTGGCATGCCTTCGCCTCCCAACAGCCATCCACAAGGCAAGTCTTTCTCACCGCTGTTTCACCGAGCCTGCGTTGTAACTGGTTAATGGGATAAGGTTTTCAGCACATGATTACTACCAGGAAAACTAAAGTCCAGTCGCAAACCTGCGCTGCAAGCCTCGCAACGTTTTCGTTGCAACCCTCTGCATCCTAGCAATCCGGCACAGCCACACACTTGAAATCACCTCCCAATCCACCCATCACCCATCACATTGCTCTTCCACCTCATCTATCCCCCCATCTTTCTCCCGCCTAATCGCAGCCGGGAGCGCATCATATCTGCAACAGCATCCCCCTCACCACAACCACCACAACCACCACCACAACCACCACAACCACCACCGCAATCTTCCAGTCCTCTCGTCGTACACCATTTCACCGCGCTGGCCGTACTTCAATACGCCGTGTCCACTCTGATCCAGCGCCCGATCCCAGCACGAGCACAAGGACAGCAGCAGCCGACGAGCTCCTACCGCCGGCGCCAGCGGCGTCGTCGGAACCCGCAACCACCGGAACGGCAGGAGCTGCGGATTCTGAGGCCGCCCGCCGCGGCCTGGCCAGTCTGTCTCAGCTCGTTAGCGCCTGGACGGAAGTCTCCCGCCGGCTCACGCCGGGGGCTCTGGTTGAGCCGGCGGCGGAAAGAAGGGGGGAGGGGGCCGCCGCAGCCGCCGCTGCTGCCGCTGCTGCTGCCGTGTACGATTACCCTGGTGAAGAGTCAGTCGCCTGTGCCGCCGCCGGTGGGCCACCGTGGGATCGCGGCGGGGTGAATGGGGAGGGGGGAATGGTGAAAGGTGGTAGTGGTGGTGCTGGTCTTTCTCTGAGGACTGGAAGCCCGCTCCAGTCATCGGTGTTGTCGGGGGACAGAACACGAGCACGGGTGGTACCGCCGCCGCAGTCACCGCCTCTACAATTGCCTCACCATCCACAGTCATCGGCCCAGCATCATCAGGGTCATCAGTATCATCGTCAGCAGCAGCAGCAGCAGCAGCAGATGCCGCTTCATCGATTTGGTCCGCAAAACCAAGAACACCAAAACCGTCAAAACCAGCACCAGCAACACCAATATCAGCAGCAGCACCAACAACAAAGAAATCAACAACAGCAACAGCAGCAGCAACAACAACGACCACATTTTGAGGCAATCATGACAGCTCTTAAACTTGCACTCGCGTCCCTGCAGCACGCCCCGCTGCGGCGCGATGGCCGCTCTCCTGCCACCCGTGCCGTACAGCTGGCGTCGACGCTGGCGGACCTATGCGCCGCCGGTCTGCCCCTGGATGCCGCCGCCATGTGCGCGGGTGTGGTTTCGGAGGCGGCTGATTTGGGGGCCTTACGTGCTGACGTCATCAGGGCGCAGCTTGGGCCGGAGGTGGCGGCGTTGGTGCATGACATGCTGCGTGTACGGCAGGCGCCACGTCGGATCGAGTTGTTGGATGATGAGGGGGCCAGGTGCGTGGGCGTTATGAAAGATGGAGGGGGGGGGAGGCGGGGAGGGGGAGGGGGGAGATGGGGAAATGGGCTCAGTGGAAGCAGGTGGTGGTGGTGGTGGTGCTGGCGGATTGGGGACCAGAGACCAGGGAGGGTGCAGGTGTGAGTGCGCAATTTTGATCCAGTTGATGTTAGGTGCTTTCTAAATTGAAGTTAGAAAATAATAGATAAAAAATAAGTGTTGTTAAGATTTTGGCTTCAATTTTTAACTCAACCCGAGGATCGCTATCACCATCACTGACACCATCACCAACACCTCATACGACTATGACTACCACCACACTTTCCTGCCCGCCCTCAGGCATTGAGTTCCATTGGCTTCCCAATCATTATGACCGATCTCGGCCGCCCCTCTTCCCCCCGCAGTGCCGTACGGGAATGGTGTCTTGCCTTCCACGATGTTCGTTCCTGTGTGGTTGAGGTAGTTGGTTGGTGGGACGAGCTACAACACCTCGGAGGTCGGCCGCTGTTTGAACAGCAGGCGATAGCGCTGGAGGTGCGTGTGGGTTGGGGGCTTGGGTTTGGGTACGGCACCTAGGGCGGTCGCATGATCGTCTTTGGGCTCCGGCAGTTAGTTATTAGTTAGTTGGTGGTTTGGGTGTGCTGATGTAGTTGAATCCCTTCTGTTCTCCCATTCCCTCATCTGCGCCATCATGTACCACCCAACTAACCACACACACACACATACACACGCTCCCAGCCGTCACTCTCTCCTCCCCCTCTTTTATCCCCCTTCTCCCTCCTCCCACTCCCCCTCCTCCCTCTCCTCCCCACTCCCTCCTCCCACTCCCTCCTCCCGCTCCTACCCCTCCACTTCCTCCCCCCCCCGCAGACTCTCCAAATCGGAGCCCCGCTAGGTCACGCTCTGGGTTTGGGAGCCTTGAGTGCGGTCATGGAGGACATGTGCCTCAAGGTGCGTGTGCGTGTGCGTGTGCGCGAGTCCGCCAACCGTTCACCTGATGCGCCTGACGGGCCCCCGGCCCCCGGGTACCTGTCCGATATCCCCGGCCCTTTCGTCCGTCCGCGGCTGTGGGGGACCAGAAGGCTTCATGTTTGGCACCATATAGGGCACCTCTAGGGCTCGTTTTAGGCCCCAACCTGAACAAACAGTGGCGGTCTCCTCAATCCGCCCCGCCCCTTTTATGGGGCCCCCACACCAAAATTAAGTTTTTTGGAACTTATTTTTGGAACTTGGAGTTATTAAACTCCCCTTCTCTCCCCCTTCTAATATTATGCTCGCAGGTTCTCTTCCCGGAGTCGTACACCTCCACATCCGCCTGGTTGCGCGGTCTGCTGGATCCAGCCGAGGACCTCCTGTTCAGCGCCCAGCAGCGGCTGCTGTCCGCCCTGGACGAGCATCCGGACTTTGGCAAACTGTCGGGGGGCCTATTGGTGAAGGCACGAACCAAGAGCCTGTTCAGCGTGATGAAGAAGCTGCTGCATTTGGGGGATATGGCGCGGGGAGGGCGGAGCCGGGAGGTAGGGTGGGGAAGGGTAGGGGGGAGGGTTTTATCTAGGGTTTTTTGGCGGGAATTTCCGTTGGCATGCGTCTTCATGGGGGGTGGGTTGGGGCATGTTCTGTAGGGTTGTTGTTGTATATAGCACTTAACTATGTTTTCATCTTGAGGACTGAACGAACGTTGTGGGAAGCGTTTATGAACTCGCGCCTTCCTCCAACTTGAACAAACGTGCATGCATAGAAGTATAAACCCAATGTCATGCCTTGCACATACATACATACATACATACATACTTACATACATACATACATACACACATACATACATACTGACTGACTGACATACTTACTGACATACTTATATACATACTTGCAGGAGTTGTACGACCTGCTGGGTATGCGGGCCATCGTGAAACCGCCAGACTTCCTGCCGCCTGCGGAAGCGGAGGCGGCGGCAACCAAGGCATGCTACATCGTACAGGACGTGAGTGTACGGATATGCTTAGATTGTATCCAGTTTATTGCAAAGTTCGGTCGTTAGTTCTTAAACTATCTTCCGGGGATCTAGCGAATTCACGTCGTACTTTGAACTCGAAAAAATGTTGTTATGTTTTTTTCTTGTGTGTGCGCGCGCGTAAATTTGATTGTCTCGTTATTCCAGTTGGGGTTGGTTAATTCCGGTATATTCTGTTGGTGGGCGTTTGGCTTTCCTGATGGGCTCTTGGTCAGAAACCGCACAGCGCAATACAGCAAAAACACAAACACATGTCGTACATCATGTCGAGGCGTCCTGTTTCCACCATCCTCCTTTCATTTTTCCCTTACCTAAACCCTAAAACTCTAAAACCGTAACTCTAAAACCCTAAAAACCCCCCTCTTACCTTCAATAGGTTGCTTGTAAGCTGTGGCGGCCCATCCCTAGTCGCTCCAAAGATTACATCGTGTCTCCGAAACCAAATGGTTATCAGTCAATACACCTCACGTTGCAGCTGGGCCAGCTGGATATGTCGTACGAGACGTACAACGGCAGCAGTTCCGCCGCAGGAACCGCAGAGGCCTCCGTGTCGTACGAATCCGTGACGGTGCCGTGCGCCGGCAGCTCGTTGGCAACCTCGTCGTTGTCGTCGTCGTCGTACGACTGGGACCAGCTGCCGTACATAGCCGGCGGCCCAGCTGCAGATGAGCAGGATCGTCCTCGTGGCGTGAGGTCTCCGCCAACAACAACAGGGGCGGCGGCGGCAGCGGCGGCGTCTTCTAGCTCCGCCGCCGCCATTGCGGCGGCAGAGGCAGCAGCGGGGGGCCCGCTGTGCGTTGAGTTGCAGATCCGTACAGCTGCCATGGATATCGCGGCGGAGAGCGGCGATGCAGCCCACGCGGTTTACAAAGGCGGATTGGATGCTCGTACTGCACGACAACTGCAGGTAACTAACTAGTACACAAATTTTGTAGGCGGAGGGATAATAAACTTTTTTATAACGAATTCTTCCTCATCCTTCATTAACCCCATGCTCGCACCAGAGGTTTTGTTTGTCATAGTTTGTGAACTCATTTCTGTTGCTTGCTCAGGTTACGACACTTGCCGTACTGCCCGTACGGCTTTGCTTTTTCGGGGTGTTTTTTTGTGTGACCTGGCAGACATGGACTGGGGAGCTGCAGCGGCGTCTTTCGGAGCAGCCACGGGGGCGGTTGCTGTTGCGGGCGACGGCGACTGCGACGGGTCCGGAAGCGGCGGCGGCGGTGGAAGAGCGGCGGCGGCGGCGGCGGGAGCGCCGCGCAGCGGCGACAACGGCGGCAGCCACCTTGGCCGCAGCAGCAGCGGCGGCGGCGCTGCCGGCACCACTGCCCACGGCAGACCGTGATAACACTGGCGCGAGCTTGATGACTGCGGCGGCGGATGTGGCACGTACGGCAAGTAAGGCGGCCGCCGATATGGCACGTACGGCAAGTAAGGCGGCGGCGGCGGCGCGGGCTCGTGGCCCAGAGGCGACTATCGTGAAGCTCCTGCCGCCGCCTTCACGGCGATCAGCTCCTGCGGCTGCCGCCGCCGCTGCCGCCGCTGGTGGATGTGTGCCGACCGGCAGCGGTGCTGGCGGCACCAGCTGTATCGACACGAAACCGTCAGAAACGGCAGCAGCAAGAGCTTGTCCCTCTCACTCCTCTCTCCCGTCCCCTTCCTCATCCCCTTCTTGCTCGTCCGCTAGCAGCAGTAGCAGCAGTAGTAGCAGGGTTAATATCTTTGTGGCTGCAGCCGCATCATCCACTTCATCGTCAGCTACAGCCCCGACGAGCCCCGTGTCAGATGGGACTGGGCCGCCAGGTCGTTCGGAGGGGGAGGGGGGGAGGGAGGGAAGGGGGGTCTCTGGCGGCGGCGGCGGCGGCGGCGGCATGATGGTGCATCGTCATCGCCATCAGGCTCGGCAGATGCCGCAGCGGGGCCGGCTGAAAAACAATGCCGCTGAGCAAGACGACGACCAAGGACGGGATTACGTGTACGACATTAACGACGGAGTGCCGTACACATTGCCACCGCCGCCGCAGCCGCCATCATCATCATTATCACCATCATCATCACCATCTTCATCACCATCATCGTCACAAAGCCCAACACCGACATCACAGCCGACAGCGGTGTCTGGGTCACGATGTGATCAGCAGCAGCAGGAGGAGGAGGAGGAGAAGCTGCAGCAGCTGATGACTACCACAGAGCACCAGTACCATAACCAGCAGCAGCAGCAGCAAGATCTGCAAGGTCACCAGCAGCACGAGCAGGAGCCTCAGGCCCCCCAGCCGCACCAGCCGCACCAGCACCAGCAGCTCACAGAGGCGCAACGGCTGTTGCTGTTCAGCAGTCTAGGCAGTCTGGACGAAGTGGAGGACGTCCCGCTGGCGATCGGTCTGGGGCAGCAGGATGCTGCGGCGGCCGCGGAGCAGCTGTTTCGACATCTGGATGTGAATGGGGATGGCCGACTGAGCTTGGGTACGAGAACGGGGCGGGGTGGTGCGTACCAGTACAGTGAACTAGACCGTGTTAACAATACTGGGGGGGGGAAGAGAACGTGTGGGAGGAAGTGGGAGGTGGGAAGTGGGAGGTGCACCTCCCACGTGGGAAGTGGGAAGTGAACTGCGCTCACGGCGTGTTCAGGGGTCCCTAAACTGCCCCTAGTGAGTCCGAAGCGATGAAGGGGTGGGGGCCTGGGCCATGTAGGGTAGGCTGGCTGTGGCAGCTGGCCGCTGCTGGAAAGGCCTCTCTGCGCATTGGAGCCTATATAGAGCCGATCCTCCCTCCCCCAACACCCCACACAACCCTCCTCCTTTCCCCCCCCCAACACCCCTCACAACCCTCCTCTCCCCCTCACACACAACCACCAGATGAGGTGCGTCAGGCGCTCACCGACCTGGCAGCTCCCTCCTCGGAGCGGGACGCGGCGGCGCTGCTGGCGGCACTGGACCGCAACGGCGACGGGGGTGTGAGCATGGAGGAGTTTGTGGAGGGGCTTGGACCGGGGGGTCGCCTGGACAGCAGGAGACGACAGACATGACGACAGACATGACGGCAGACCGCGGTGGCGGCTGGTGGGATGGAGGAAAAAGCGGCTTTGTGTGCTGCAGTAGCTCTCGTTGTGGAGGGGCGCGAGGAAAAGCGTGAAGATGGCGCTCGGTTGTCATACGTTCTTAACTATTTTTAAACTCTTCGGAGCATTTTCCTGTCCTGCTGGCCCACTTCTTTTATTTTTGATAAGCACATGGAAATATAAACGTTTTGCCGTGTCTTCTGGTACTGTTGCGACGTGTACGGCGGTCGTACATGGTCACCATGTCGGTTGGTGGTTGAGCCACGGTAGCTGAGAAGCTTTGAATCTGAGTTGAGGGAAGTGAGATGCATATGCGTCAAGAACGTTAAACGGTTGTACGAATGAGACGTAATGAATGTTTGTGACTGATTCGTGCATGTTATGTTGTAAATCGCTGTATATGGGGGTATTCGATGCAAAATGAGGGGGGGATGTACGGGTTTTGCCGTACGAAGGGCGCGTTTCGTGCTGAAAATTGGACAATAAATATATAATGTGTTTTTGGAGCGCGAAATATATGGATTGCAGCGTTTGTGTTCAACCAACAGTCTGTAGTAGATGCTGGATGCGCAGAGCACGAGAGGCAATTAAACACGGGAGTGGGCGGTGTTGTCTGAGATGCCTACACTTGGTACTTGATAGGTGATTGGTTGCGAGTGATTGCGGCGCTAAGAAGCAGTTCTTGTTGAGGGCGACCGGTCTTGATTCGCGATCATGAGCAGTAAATACCACCTCATATCACGTCTCAAGCCCCTTGGATCCGTTTTACCTATATCTCTTATTACCTTCTTTACTGCCGCCGTACCGACAGCCGTACAGACATCGCGCCCCATACATGACATCGCTCCCCGGGAATCAAACAAAACGAAGTGAGTGCCAGGTGCGGCAGCTCGCGCAAACAATAACGATGAAATGGTGCCACCTTTACTTAACCCAGTTTGGAAGCAGCAGGTGAGAACCCCTCCTAGAGAGCTGCAGGTCACCACCAAAGGTGGCCTTTACCTGTCTCTCATGCACACACAGGCTTAGGCATATGTACACACCGAGGACCCTCTCCCGGTCTCAACTGGCCTCACTGCCTATTGCAGCTAATAATAAGTACTCTAGATAGAGGGTTTATGTGCGGGTGCTGGCCCACTACAAACACACACCCTTCTTTTGGTGTCACCTTCTGCCGGGCAGCTCAGGCGGATGGAACTTCCCTAAACGAGATCATGTTATCCTCGTTCCGATGCACCTTCCTTAGATTTTTTTTTGTGTGTGTGTCTGTGTGTGTGTGTCCTGTCCATCCATTGGGCACAGTTGCCGCGAGTTGCTGTTGGTTCTGTCATAACGAGTTTCCAACGAATCCTTCGAGGGGCACGCGGTACAGGATAGGAGGTATAGTCAGAAGACCTAAATTCTCCCCCAGGCGAGGACCCGAACAACAGCCGAGCAACACAAATCCGTTGCAATCCTTCCGTAGAGCGTGCACAACAATGCCAAGGCGAAAAAGCGGATGTCCTGTCCTGTAGCAAGCTACATTTACCTTAGAATATCTTTAAGCTATTAAAGCTTAATCACAGTAACGGTACGGTCCCGTATTTACGAACCATACTCGTTAACTGTACGAACTCACTTTCTGGTACGCTATCACAACCTAGCGTACGACACCAAGACTCCAGGAATGGAGATGGCGGCAGGTGGGCCGCATTTAAGCCACCCAGGTGAAGTGCTTCGGCCAGACACTTAACGTATCACTATACTAGTGTTCAGGGTTCAAGACCTTGCTGTCACCGTTCTCGACGTATGTCTTCGAATCCCGACTTCCCTTGTCTCTTCTCACGCCTAACGCTGGGTCGCCAATCGTGGACGAGACCCTCTACTTCCGCTAAAACAGCTAAGGTAAGAGACGGCTGTTACATGTCCGGTGAGGGGCAGTTCTACGAAGTCCCCTGCTGTAAGGTTTTGCAGTTCGTTAGCGCGCGCTTCTGAGACCATGTCGAAACTTCGGAGCTAGTGGAGCTTGATCCTGTGGTTCTCCGTGTGAGACAATGGCGCGCTATTATGACTATTTAAGCGGACCATTTTATGAACATTGTAAGTCTAAGTTGAAATTGAAAAGCCCGATCTTCTGTGCTTACGCAAGTATATCGGCCAGTAAAGTCAGCTTGCACTCCCCAGTTGTTAGGAGCGGCCTGGTTCCCTTTCAATTGGTATCAGAGCCTAGGTGATCCTTCTCGCCTTTCACCTGCCCCAACAAGTGAGCTCCTTGCTAAAGACAGCAAAATTCCGCTTTTTGCCGAAATTCGGTAGTGGTAGGTTTAAACCTGCCTTGACAAGTCAGGTGCATGGGTCCAGCAGCCATAAAGCAACGGTTGTGAAGATATCCGCATAACGACAGTATGATATATTGTGCATTGATTTGTTATTTTTATTCGGGGGAGACGGGTGCACAGGCCTCCGTCCTGCGTCTTTGCTCGGACAAGGTCTTACAAATTTCCAACGCCAGCCCACGTCTCGGGAGTTACCTAAGTTTATGCGACATGGTTTCAGGTGTTATCAGCCTATACAGTCGAATATCAAAAGTGAACAGTGTGCATCCCGCCTTTCGCGTTCGGCGACGCGTAGCTTGAGACGCAGCATGATTTCTCGCGTTAATAATGCGAGGCGTGAATGCCCTATGTGCAAAACATTACGAGTAACCGACATGCAAATGACGCTTCAGTGCATTAGAGGGGTGTGTACGTCACTATTTGTCGCGACCCCTAAAATCCCAATCAGTTACGCTTGCTCAAAATAGATAGACGACCTCTAATCATACGCGAGATAATTTCACGATTGGATTATGTTTCAGTTCTGACCACTTTGCGTGTTGAAAGGGTATGATAAGGCTGTGACTTTGGACGCCCTGAAAGCCAAGGCATTGATCACTTTCAGGAGCTCAAGCTTGTACTTCAAATCTTTACAATTCTCTGTAAACGTTAAAAGCGTCTCGTCAGAGGGAGACAAGATTTCAGTTTGAACGCGTTAAGATTGTCGGTCCTTTGACGCCAGGGTGAGGCATCGCTGAAGGTACCGGCAAGGAGGAGTACATCGGACCCTTCCGCATCTAGCAATTATGGTCCTTGACGCTGGCACAACGCGGAATCGAGACCAGCGGCCGACGCGAGGCAAATGGGCCGGCGGCACAGAGGTTTCTTGCCGCAGCGGTCCCCTTAACAACGATGTCCAGGATTCAGCATGCGAAGACGTAGGTTGAAGAGCATCACAGTGTTTGCTTTCGCTGTAGGCTCTCGTTTGTAGGGCTTTTCACTCGACACGCAACGCGCAGGAGCCGGCGGATGTTTGCTGGGTGTGCCTGGATGGCCCTTCCCCGGGGAAGCCGCTTATGCGGCCTTGCAAGTGCCCTCGATACTGCCACAGTGTTTGCATCGCGCGATGGCAACTGCAAAGCGCTGGGAGCAGGCAAGTAGCGTAACGCGAACTTCAAAGGGGACCTCCGGTGTGATTCCACCAATCCAGGATTGCTATCATATCCTATGGTTAAAGAGCTTTATCCGTTTCGGAAGCGCCTCGTGTTCGCGCGAGCATACGTAGCTAGACAGGTGGTCAGAGCGGCTCAGAGCGCCCGCCCTCGTCTTCGCCGTCTGAACAATGCAGGAAAGAGACCCACTGCGATTTCTGCCAGTCGAGGCTCCCAGAATGGAAAACTGCACTCACGCCTGCTTGCGGCTGCGAGGCGCCGGTAAGCCCGCCTCAAGATTACGCCGGTGACGTCGCATGACGTCACCAGCTGCGCGCTCCTGCCTCTCCGCGTTGCTCGCCCCTTACCTGCTGCAAGACATGAAAACCAATCGCGCGTTTCCATTGCTCGTGTCGTTTAAAACTGCAAAACAAAAAAAAAATTCAGACTCGTGTTTTGAGGTATAATCGTCCCCTTTTCCTGCGCCGTGCTGCACTTTTATCCCTGCGACCCACGGGACTCGTCACTTGACCCAGATGCCGAAAAAAGACCTAAACAGACTTTCTTTTCGAACAAGTGATATTTTCTTTCCCCATGCTGTTTTGCCTTTTTATGCCTCAAGGCCTTAAGATGCTGAGTGTTTTTTCTCCTCGGCTGACTTCTGTCAGGCGCTGACTCGCGCGCGGCTCCCGCAGGCTGTGATGAACGTCAACTTTGGCGGCCGCACGTACAGCTTCGAGGTGCAGCCTGGGCCGGAGGGCTACCGCCGTTTCACGGCTGCTATCCGGCAGGCGTTTTCGCTTCCGGAGGACAGCGAGCTGAACATCACCTTCACGTGTGACGAGCCCAACAGCGGTAAGTAGCTCCTCCGCGTACGGCCCTTCATTGGTGTGGGTGCACGGTAACAGCAACAGGGCTACCCCACATTCATGCGTTTCACTCAGTGTGTGATTTGGGTCGCGATGATTTGGGTTAGGGTCGGAATGAACTGGGTCGGACCGAAATGGCGTCTACCGGCCGGTTAACCCCTCCTGCGTATGCGGGTTCGGTCTCTACAATACCCTCCTCCCCGCCAAGGGGACAACTCGTAGCGCCGGGGCCGCCCAGATCGACATGTATGGATATGATGTGGGAGGCGAAATGAAGACATACAAAAACGGGAGTTAGGAATCAGGGCCGGTGTTTGAGAGGGGCGAGGAAGCACAGCGGCTGCTATTGGGGAAAGGAATAAGGGGGATAATATAAAATATAGGGGAAAATAGACGCGAGCGAGTTGGTAGTTTTGTATTGTGTAGTGGGCGCAGCAAAGGTAGGCTTTGGACCTCTGTTCAGGTTGTGCACGCTATTACTCCGCGCGCTTTTGCGTTGAGGATATTAACATAGACGTGTTGCAACGGACACTTCTGGTAAACTGACCTAGAAATTCTTTTTTTCAAAAGTCGAAGAACGCAGGCGTATCCATCAGTTCAGCTACTTGCATCCGGATTGGCATCTGCACTGCTTCCTTGCTTCCATTATTATGTCATCATTATTATGATCATCATCTTTTTCTCTCTTTCCTCTCTCCCGTCGTCGTATCTCTGGCTGGCATCCTCTTTGGGGGAGTCAAGAGCCTGTCACCAACGCAGGCTCATTGCTGACACTGCAAGGCGCGGGAGCCTATGATGCAGCCGTACATTGCGCCTCCGTCTCCGCGGCGCGCCGCATCAGCACAGGTACCCCGCTCGCGCAGGCGCCCATTTGGCCGACCGGCGGGAACAGCAGCAGCAGCGGCGGCGGTTCCGGAGACGGCGGCGGCGCCTCCACAGCCGCCGGCATCCGAAGGACGGGGAGCGCTGTCGGCCGGTCGAATGGCAGCGGCGGCGGCGGCGGCGGCGGCGGTAACCACCATGGAAGCGACCGAAGCAATGGTGGTAGTGGCAGCAGCAACAACAGCAATAAGTCCCGCGGGATTTCGGGCTTGGGCCGGCGGCTTCGGAGCGCTGTTGCTGGGATGTTCGGTGCTGGGAGCAGTAGCAGTAGCAGCAGCAGCAGTGCCGGTGGAGGCGGCAGTAGCGGGGGCGCGGGGCAAAGCGGTGATCGGGGAGCCCGTGGCTGAGGAAGGGGTGTCGAATTGGCCGTTGATATCGACACCACATCGTCTCGTGCTTTGTGTGGGCCGCCGTATGGGGTGTGAGGTTGGCACAGGAGGTGGTTTTGTCTACGGCAGGGTAGCCCAGTCGACCCTTTTTCGATTGATTCAGGACGTTTTTTGTCTTATGCCGAGCGCTTTGCATCGGACGAGTCGGCAAGGCGGTCGGGACTCCGTGGCACTGTTGTGGGGCGGAGGTAGTCTTTTATCTGTCCTCATTTTTCAGATCTGCTGCACGACGACGAAGATGACGACGACGACGACGACGCGGAAAGAGAAGTTTTGGGCAGCAGCGACGAGTTTTTTCTTTCAAGGTTTTTCATCTTCGCAGCATGTAGTTGTACGAGCAGCATGAAGCTGTACGAGCAGGGACGACAGTGCGACTTGGCGGGGCATCTTTTCAGCAGCAGGGGGCCATGGAGGAAAAGTAAGATACGGAGTACGGAGGTACGAATAGGAGTACGGCGATAGTCGCAGAGAGGCGGTGCGCGTGTTTTGTGTTGTTTTGCGCTAGGTTGTGTACACTGGTACAGGAAAAGTGCATCATGTCCCTAAGTTGTAGATTGCATATCGCATATGGAGCCGTCCCCGCATTTCCCGCATTCCCCAAACTGTGTTTTCTGATTTGCTGTAGTGGTACTCTCTTTCGATGTGCTCATTGAAATCTCGGAATCTCGACCTCTGTGCATGTACGGCATAGACATGATGAAGTCCCGTTGGGAAGGGAAGAAGATTTCCTCTTCTTTTTGACCATTTGCTGTTGCCGATACTGAGAGTACGGCTACCTTGACTTCCTCACTCCTGGCCCGAGTCTCCTGGCTTTAGCTTTGGGGGAGTCTTTTTGGAGGCAGGCCCGCCAGGCCTTGACCGCCGAGGCGTGGTGGCTATTTCTCCCTTAAGGATCATCATCATCACCGAGTGCCGAGTTGTTCATTTGGAAGCTGGCTGCGCATTCTGTTGCACTTCTCTCTCTCGCAGTGCTTTGATATTGACATTGCCTTCTTCTCTCTCTCGCTTTGTACGAACAAGTTGCTTGCTGTGTACGGTATCTGGTATGTGGTGCGAATTGACTCGATGCGGTGCGGCTGTGTGTGTGTGTTTGTGTGGTGATTGTGTGTTACGGCTCGCTCTTTCAAGGAGACTATATTTGGACGGTCGAGAGGTGCGCGGCCTCATGAGCAGCCTCATGGGGGCCTGTCCACACTGCGTGGCATCTTGAAAACAAGTTGGTGCACTGCCGTTGTTGTTATTGTTGACCAGACAGGTAGCTACTTTCCTGCTCTCTCTCATTGCTGTGACGACATCATGCATGTTACGGCGCATTGTGTGCTTTTTTTTCTGTGCTGCTTATCTGTGGGGAGGGGCTTTTGCCTATTGCTTTGCATGCGTATGTTTGACGTGCGTGTAATGGTGGGGTGTGTCTGTTTGACACGTGTGTGTGTGCGTGTGTGTGCACGTTGAAGGGAAAGAAACTATGTACGAAGTGTTTGTTGCGTTGGAAGGAGGCGACGTTGTGCAGGTGTATGTATGTATGTGTGGTGTATGCATGTATGTATGTGTGTTTGCGGTGTACGTCGAATGCTGAACAGTGCAAAGAAGATCATCATCCAAGGGAGGACGGAACTGCGTGTGAGTGTGGTTTTGTGTGTGCGTGTTTGCGCGCCTCGATGACGGAGCATACGATGAGGCGGTTGAGGGTATCGAAGCCACACCAGTGTGATAGGTGCCATCGCCCATGGTGCCATGTTGTTGTTGCAGATGCAGTACAGGTTCCCCCCGGGGGCGGCCACCGGGGATTTCGGGTTTTTGCTCGTCCACATCCCTTCTCCCTAGGGGGGCCCTCGGGCGTACTTGTGCGCACATTTGTGCGTCTGAAGAGAGAGATGCGTGTGGGTTAGATTAAAATTTGCAAACGTGTGTATTTCTCTGGGGCATGTTTTTTTTGGGGGGGGGGGGAAGGTACAGATCCGAAACTCCGGTGCGGTCTCCTCTTGCTGGAGAGGTCGGCCCCAATGAAATGGCGCCCGTCCATGTATTTGTGTGAGAGCGGCTGGATGAGCGGCTGGCATGTTATTTCTGTGTGACTCCAATTGAAGCGGACGAGGGAGAATGAAGATGACCTCCCGCGTACCCGCATCAATACCAATACAACGTCCATGGCCCCCCCGGCTTTTACGGACACACCCGCACTTGTGTGCGGAACTTGTAACTTGTAACCTGTTATTTCTGTGTGTGTGTGCGTATATATGTAGAGGGTGCTTCGAGTACATGTCCTGTCTGCCCTTACCCGCGGCATTTCATAAGCATTGTGTGCTGGCTGCGCGTTCAGTCTGTCGGGCGGGCCACGAGAGATGTCGGGCGGACCTTTTCTTGGGGGGTGGGTGGGAAAATTTGGATCGTTCTCATACGATGCGCATCCATGTTGTGAAGTTCATCCATCTGGGTTTCAGAAAATTCATGAAATCGCGACATACAGACCCAAAGGTTTTGCTTACCGCTGACCTTTTCTTTTTTTTCTTCATGGCTGTGTAAGGGAAGCAGTGAGGTGGTGAGGTTTTTAATGTTGCGGGAAAGGAGGGAAACTAACTATTGTAAATAATCAACATAATTTTGGAAGAAGAACGTACTTGTGCATATCAATCCATTAGTGTTTAATGGATGCTATGGATCTTTCCATCCTCCCCTCCAGGGCTCGCTGTCATCCGCGGCGCCAAAACGCAAGAAGTTTCTTTTTTCTCGTAACCTTTTGTCGAAACGGACGTACCTCGCCGTACCACACAGATTCTATGACACCTTTTTTTGCAACTCCCCTCCGCGACCGCTATACCGGTCATTACAGGCGTGGAGGGTTGCACAGAGCGCGGTCACAGGATGCGGCGGAGAGTCGGGTCGGGCACACAGAGTAGGGATACGGATATAATATAGGAAAGAGTAGTATGGAAATGTGGAGGCTCCCCCCACACACACAGAGGATAAGGATGGCAGGCAGAAGGGGCCCAGAATGGCGGAAAAAACATTTTTTGAATGGGTCGAGACGCCGACTCACCAAGGAGATGATGCGGACGGCTGGGAAATCTATACCGGTTGGGACGATGTTAAAAAACCATCGTACACGAAAAGGCTCTCTACACATACTCGCTGCTCGACCCGTTCGGGGTCCACTGTAACAATCGCATTTCCCTTCTCACATGGAGGGGGTACTAGTGCACTATTGGCAAACGTCCAAGTAGCCCTAGAAGTAGAAGTTTCCGTCGCTTTTCAGGCAGAAGGCCAGACTGGGCGCATCAGGGCGCATCAGGGTGTGTGGAGAATGACTAAAAGTGCGACTGGTCTCGCTGGTGGTGATTCGAACGTGTGTGTGAGGTCGTCATTTGGAAGGCTGGACGCGGACTTTGGCGGTTGTGACGGTTGCTGCTGAGTTGGCAGAGCAGTTGGGGCCAACTTCCGGTCCGTACATGAATGATAACATATACATAGACCATATCCCGACGTTTCTAGGACGTTGCATATATACAATACATACATACACACACACACGTTCGCGGGAGAGAGCTTAGGCCCGATCAGATACGTAACCTTCACGTACATACATACCATACATACCGTACAATACATACACACACACGCAATACAAATCTCCCTCACCATCTCCCTGACCATCGCCATCACCATCACCACCATTATCTCCGTCATCGTGATCATCATCACCACCACCACCGCCACCACCACCCTCCCTAAATCACCTCTACAGCCACCATCACCACCCCCACTCGATATCAACACTGATGAATGCGCGCGCCGTTGGGCGTTAGTGAGATTTCAGAACGCAGTATTGCGAGACGCCATCGTAGCTGCGAAGGCAGACACAACAAGAACACGACCGCAATATTTCTTTTTACTTTTTTTATTTTTTAACTTTGGGTCAGATCCCGTACCGCCTGTCGCCGTAATGTTTCACCTAAAAGTCAAACGGTGTCACTCCCCACACAAACTGCGCACCGAATACGTGTCACCTCGCACGGAAAACATTGTTGTACAAATGATTTGGCTACGCATACAGCTCGCCACAAAACCCATCACAGCAGAGAAAACAAACGCGGCAACCGACCGCCACCCCAACTCGACGAAGCACCCGTAAGGAAAGATCGCAATTGCTTCATCAGGCAACGTGCCTAGCCAATCGAAGAAGACAAACAAGGGATTATTTTTACACCAAGTAACGCACTTGAATTCGCCCCAGCCGCTCTTTTGCACACATGTTTCCTAATTTGGCCACTCCACCACAATGACAAGCCTTTACATTTCTCGGCAATTAACGGTTGCTCGTGACGGTTTAATGGTTAACTGTAACCGCATCGCCAGCATGGCCTGCTGGCCCGCCGGCTGCACTCTTCACGATCCTAAACCCCACTATCACACACACCCACATACATACATACGTACATCCATCCATCCATACCTACCTACATGCATCGCCATCAACGCACAGTATCACACAACAGCAGACACAGACGTTACCCTAAGTATCCCTAACCGCTCCCCAACCGCCACAACTCCCAACCTCCATGGAATGGAAAACCCCATATTAAAGCTGGTTCCTTGATGGGGGGCACTTAGGAACGCAAAACTCCAAAAACACTTAATAAATCTCCTCGCATTGGCCACATTGTTGTTCGTGTGCGTTTTTTTGGTGAATGTGCAGAAGGAACACGTACGAGTACGACCTGTTATGTATATGTACTGTACGGCATGCACAAACATCAGAAAGGTTACGAGAATGGCACTTAACACGGGAATGGCACTTAAATGGCACTTAACACGAGAATGGCACTTAAATTCGTACTTCGACTTCCATACCTATCATCAAGTTATTATTAGTCATTCCCGAGGGCATCAACAGGAGCTCGCACGAGGCCGCCGTATTTCCGGTCGTACTTGTCGTACAACCATACAAACCTACATACCGTGAAAGCCACCACCCACCACCACCATTGCCATCACTGCCAAGATTTTGGCCCCTACATACCAACGCCGCGATTTCTTTGCTTGCTGCGCGGTGCCGTATATGCTGCTGTACATGCATTCATTTACATCCAATTTTAACAATAGGGGATTGCAGTGAACATACGTACAAACATACGTGCAAACATACGTGCAAACATACGTGCAAACATACGTGCAAGCATTTCTGAACTACCGAGGTGGTCTGTGTATGCATGCTTGCACCTATGAGGATGGATGTACCGGCGTATGTATGTATGCATGTATGTATGTATGTACGCACAGCGCTAAGAGACTTTCAGGCGCTCCCAAGGTGCAACCAATAACTGAAAAAAGCAGTTGGCAAAACAACTGGAGTAACGGTACAACTGTAGTAACGGAAGAAACTGACCAAGCGGCCGACCTGGTAACGCACGCGGTGGAGCAAACGCGTTCATTCCCTTTTCAATCTCTTCCATCGCCAATCCCAACCCCATGGTACGACATCACGTCGAAATCCAAAACCCAAATGTGTGCACGCGCACTGCCACGCGGTTTGCAATCTCACCCAAAACATAAACCAACAAACTAACCAACCAACTGCAACCACCAACCCACACTTTATAGCCTTCCCTCCATCCGGCGGGGCTGACATCTACCCGAGTATTTCCACACCGGCCCCACCAACCCCCCACACATACACACACATTTAAATCTTCTTCCCGTCCTCCCCCTCGTTCCTCCCTTCTTCCCCCCTTCCTTCTCCCCATTCCGCTAATCCACATCCTGCCGCAGTTTCAGGGCTGAGTGTTATATGCGGGAGGTCATGAGAACTGTGTTTGCCGCCGTAGAACCCATTTAAAACCCATTCAGATTTTAATGAATACCCTAAACCAGCACACACCACAGTGGCATTGCGCCTCACCAACCGCAAACCGCAAACCGGAGAGCCCCCTCCCGCACACACATACGTACTTACATACATGCGAATTTCCCCATACCTCACTAATTTCAGAGGTCACAAGCCCTCCCATGCACTTTTAAGTCACCGGTATGTTTTCAGTCAGTCTGTTTGTCAGTCTGTCAGTCAGTGGCGGTTTGTCCGCACACCAAACCCCAAACCCCTTCACACTCAACACACACACATACACACACAGGGCTGCCTGTACCCCCCTGCCCCTGGAATACCCGTCTATCTCTATCTCCGGTTTCTGCTTTACTCTTCTGTGGCTCCTTGGTCTTCCCCTCCCCCCCCCTGCCGCCCATCTTCCCGACCAAGAAGTCCTCACGCTCCACCTCGTCAACCACCTCCCTTTCTTCAACCGAATCCGTCATCACCCTGACGTCATCACCCTGATGGTCGCGTCTGCAACAGCTGATGCGATCGCAAACTCCGTCGTGCAACTTCCCCCTCCGTTTCCCCCCCTCCACCTCCCCTTCCCCCTCCCCCTCCTGCTCCTGAGGGGCCCCTAGCAGCCTCCGAGGCCCACAGGCCAACCCGATCCAAAGCTCCCCCCAGCATGGAGCCCGCCATGCCGATCGGACTGGACCCAGATCGCAGCCCCTGCTCCCAGTTCGGCTGTTGTTGTTGCGGCATCAACTGCTGTTGCGGCATCAACTGCTGTTGCGGCTGGGGTTCCTGGCCTGGAGGTGGCAGCGGCGGTGACGTGGTGTCCACCATTGCGATGTCTCGTCCAAAAATCGCGCGATCTGCTTTTGTAAGCTGTAGGGCCCGAGCCCAGACTTTGGAGAGGTGACGGCGGTTTTTGGATACGAGCAAGTAGGCGAGTGATAACAGCGGCAAGGTCGCGGTCACGAAACCTAGGTTCGCTGCGATCTCGGGGTCCACTGCCGCGAGCAGCTTGATGATCGCCGTGACACCTTTGAAAACCTGATTACAAGGAAAATAAGGAAAAGAAGGAAAAGAAGGAAAAGAAGGAAAAAAAGGAAAAGAAGGAAAAGAAGGAAGAGAAGGAAGAGAAGGAAAAGAAGTACTTATGTTATTTTTTTGTTGTTGAAGACAAATTTGCCGCAACCGACCTCACCACTTACTTGGCCGTTAGCCGACAGAATGTGAATCGTTTCCATCGCGGCCTTGTAGTTGATGCCACCATGCTCGATGGCGTTGAAACTCTGCACGCGCATACCGAAATGTTGTGCAAAAATGGGACAGGAAATATGAAAGGAAACGTCAAGGATATACACATGGTCGTGGTGGTGGTGGTAATGGCAGAGAGAGAGGGGGGTAAAGAGGCGCACAGAGGCGCACGTTGCAAAACAGAAACTCTTCCCGGTGTCGCGGAGATCGTTCACATTCCCCAAATTCTGACAAAACACATTGGATAGCTAGTCGTACGAAAAGTTTCTGCGGAAATGTCAGCTGTTACGGGATATCCTCGTTAAAAGAAGTGGTTCCTTAAACCCTTAAACCGAAACCCTAAAACCCAACCTGGGAGGAGATGTCCACAAACATCACGCGCCCCATGCCGTTGTCCATCTTCTCCAACATGGCCTGAAACGTACGACAGATGCTGCAATCTCCGTCGTACAAGTACTTGAAAATCCTGGAAATGATGGGTTTGTTGGAGGTGGTTAGATTTGTTGGGGTAACCAACGGTGTGGGGTCCGCCCTTCAGGCAACCCACTTTCATACACATCACCATCATCATCACCAAGCAGATCAACCACCATGACGTACGACAACACGACATAACAAATTCGTAGCAATGCTACTTTGCAGTAATATTGTAATAATTTCCAACATGCGGTACATATTTTGTTTCCACCACTCTCCAATCTCACGCCTCCCTTAAACCCAAAGCCCCAACCCCAAACCCCCAAACCCAGAACTCCAATCCCTTCCCAAACCCTAAATTCTAAAACCCAGAACCTTAAAACCCAACCCCTCCCAAACCCAAAACCCACCATCCGGCCCCTGAAGAGCCGCCGGCCATGTTGGCCGCAGCGCCCATCACATCGCCCAGCAGCTTCCTCCCCACAGCCTCCGCATTCACCGACTTGCCCACGAGCCCCAACACGTCCAGGGCATCATCCATGTTGTCTAGGACGTCCCACCCAGATCTGATCGAACCCCCGCGAAGTGAGGCGGGGGGAGGGGAGGGGAGGGGAGGGGAGGGGAGGGGAGGGGAGGGGAGGGGAGGGGAGGGGAGGGGAGGGGAGGGGAGGGGAGGGGAGGAGTAGGAAAATTACACCTTGGGAAATGCAAAATAGAAAACCCTGATGACCACTGTCGACACGTCCAAGTAGCCGATAGAGGGCAGGTGGAAGGTGGAAGGTGGAAGGTGGGGGTTTTAAAAACCCTTAACAGCTGAGGGGGATGCGAGGGGCGGTGGGAGGGGGAGTTCAGGGGTGTGTTGTCCGGGACTGTGCAAACGTTGAAATCACGTCATACATAAAAACGTTCCTTTCTGATTTAAGCTACCTTTTGGATCCGGTTTTTGCCGTGGACAGATGGAATACGGGTCCAACTCCCCCAGGCAACCGCCCAAATCCCAACTACCCTAACCGCCTCCGCCAACGAACCGTCAACTTACTTGATGGGATCCGCGAAGGACCTCAGTCCCTCGGGCGCCGCTGCCGAATGGTGCTCCAAACCGCTCCCGCCACTGTTCGGATTTGAATTTGAATTTGAATTCAAATTTGAGCCAACCGCCGCCAGCTGTTCATTGCTGCCAGCCGCAGCTGCCGCCGCGGGCGGCTGTAGCAGCAACGGTAATGGCAAGGCTAATGGCATCAACTGTTCGACGTGACGGGTTCCGGAGCCGGGAGCTGTACTGAGCTGACGTGGCGATGCTGACGGCGGCGCCGCGACCGCTAGCGGCTGTTGCAATGGCGACGGCGCCGCCGGGGGTTGAACCCGCCCGGGGGAAAGGGGAGCCAAACCGCCCGGAACGGGAAAAAGGCGGTGAGTGCAAAGAGGGTCAAGGGAGTCAAAGGAGTGAAGAAGGCGCCAAAAAGAAAAATACGGTAGCGACTACTTTCTTCAATCTCATCCTAACTCCATGTGACTTGCCACGGCAATGCCTTTGTTCATTTATCATTCTCTTAGCGGGGTAACCAGGTAGTTGGTGGTTAAGTTCAACTTCATCAAATAGGTTGGTGGTTAAGTTCAACTGAATCAAATAGGTTGGTGGTTAAGTTCAACTGAATCAAATAGGTTGGTGGTTAAGTTCAACTTCATCAAATAGGTTGGTGGTTAAGTTCAACTTCATCAAATAGGTTGGTGGTTAAGTTCAACTTCATCAAATAGGTTGGTGGTTAAGTTCAACTTCATCAAATAGGTTGGTGGTTAAGTTCAACTTCATCAAATAGGTTGGTGGTTAAGTTCAACTTCATCAAATAGGTTGGTGGTTAAGTTCAACTTCATCAAATAGGTTGGTGGTTAAGTTGGTTGGTCTCTAATGTACGGGATACACATAGATACACACGTACACATACATTACACACACGCGCATGCACCTGTACATTCTTGTGATTTCGTACGATAAGTTTATGCAGCCCCAAACAACCTTAACGCGCAACCGACAACCGACCTGGGGTGCAAGATGTGAAAGGTGATGTTGGCTGTGGGGTGGAGGACGGTGTTGGCTGTTGCTGCCGCTAGCGGCTGTAGCACCCTCGGTGGCGCCAAGCCACAAAGGTAATGTGGCACTGCTACTGCCGCCGTCACCCGCCTCCGCTGGTGCCGCTGCGGCGGCGTTTGCGTTGACGGCAGTAGCGGTGGCGGCGTCGGCAGTAGCGGTGACGGCAAATGAGCCTTGCGAGGGGTCCCGGCTCCTACACGCTGCTGCCGCCGCCGCCGCCGTCGCTGCCGCCGCCGCCGCCAATGCAGTAGCAGTGGCAGCTACAACGGCACCGCTGGACACAGAGTGCACTTTCTGTTGGTAGTTGTTAATGTCGTTGCCGTTAGTTTGATTGTTGGCGTTATGGCTGCTGTGGACGTGGTGGTGATGATGGTGGTTGTCGTACACGCAGCTCCGGTCTCCAAGCAGCGCCCGTACGAGATCGGTACGACTCACCAGTCTTTGTACAGGCAAACAAACATGCGAATAGAACAGGCAGCCGTTAGGGCACACAAACATACATACAAGCACACACAGACAAATTCAATTCGCACAGCACGCTGACAGATATTCATCCAGACAAGCAGAAGGGTAGACAAATAGACAGACACAACGACAGACAGACAGACAGACAGACAGATACCGCGACAAGCAAGACAGACAGACACAGGCAGACACCGCGACACGCAGACAGACAGACAGGCAGGCAGACAGAGAACCAGCACCCCCAACCCCAGCCCCAGGACCGGTCAACCATCATACACACTCACCCCAAGAAGCCCCCCCCAGGGCCCTCCACAACCACAAGGAACTTCCCGGTACTCCCCCCGGTGGGGGGTTCCGGGCCGCCGCCCTCCAACAGCGCTCCCGCAGCCGCCCCCAGACTCGCGTGGGGGTAAAGGGCGGGGGCGGGGGGGTAACCGGCCAGGAGGGGCCCCAGCGTGTCGGTGTCGGGGTGGGGAGAGTGGCGAGCCAGGCGCTCAACCTCCTGTTGTTGGGGTGATGAGGCGAGGAGGGTGATGAGGCGAGGAGGGTGAGGAGGGTGAGGAGGGTGAGGAGGGTGAGGAGGGTGAGGAGGGTGAGGAGGGTGAGGAGGGTGAGGAGGGTGAGGAGGGTGCGGAGGATGAGGAGGGTGCGGAGGGTGCGGAGGATGGGGATGCGGGAATTGTATAAGGGTTCGGCAGGAATACAAAACAAACTACAAGATGCAAAATTGACAGGGCTCTACTTAATTTGGGCGGGTGTGGGTGAGGAGGCGAAGGGGTGAGGGGCGCGAGCTAAGGGCTCTAACGATGCTGGGGGTTTAATTGTGGATGGATCTTGGAGGAAGTTGGTACGACGATTGCGCGTCATTAACCCACCTCCCGCGTCAGGACGTGTGTCGTTCCTGGTACGGCAACTACTACACACTGTACGGCAGGATCCACCAGCTGGCTGTGTGCAAGAGCTACAGAGGCGTCTGGGCCTAATACTGCGTATTCGCCAAGCCGCATTTGGAGAGCTAGGATTGAAGAGTGTTCTGGGACGTCACTCAGCATGGGCTCCTGGATGGCTGAATCTGGAAAGTTCCGACGCGCGAGGACATCCCCGAGGATTGTCGCAGTTGCATCCCGCCATGCCGGACCTTCCACTTCGCCAAAAGTTGTCACGCTCAGGCGCCGGCGTCTGCCAGAAGCGCCAACAAGGTGAATTGTGGATGCCGACTCGAGCGCTTGTGCTGAGCTGCTGCGTCGCACTGAGTGGCCTTCATCTCTGGCATCTGCTTCCGCGACTAAAGGCGCTGAGGTGGTATCAAGCTGAGCTTGCTGCACTCTTTTGACGCGCATCGGCGTATTAGAGCGGCTGCCGTGGTTTGGTGTCGCATGACCGGAGCTACGAAGACTGGACGGAATTCCTAAGGAAGGATGAACAAGAGTGCTTGTCGCCGTCATTGCCGATGACAGCGCCAAGAGCTAATAGCAGGCTCTTGCCGCGCTGTTGCAATATGCCAATCCGTGGCTTGTAATATAGGAAGTGGGGAAGTAATCTCAGAAACGTCTGCAACTCCGAAACTTACGGGCGCATAACTTCTAATTTAAACAAGTTAAACAAGCGTCAAATTTTTTTGCGCGCTAAGCCAACTAAAAATGCAGGACCTACACATAAGCTTGCAGATAGGACTGCGGTGATGACTTATGTAACCCCAGTGGAACAGGATTGAGCGTTTCTTACTTCGCGTATGAACCGTATCATTCGTCGTGTAAGTACCAAAATTGGATTGTACAAGAAAGCCGTGAATTGCTCCTGGCCCATTGGTGCGATACTTGTACGACGGCGCGTCAGCAACTCGTACCAAAGTACTATCAGAATATTAAAACTTCAGCTTCCATTCTGGCTCGCATCCAGGAACTTATAAGTACCTAGCGCACTATTCAAACATGCATGCATGTCACGACAAAACAACTGGTCGCATGAGCTGAAGGCGGTAGCAACTCTTCGAGCCGCGCAAAACTTCCTCACCGCACCTCATGCCGTACACGTCCCGTACGACATCTAGCTTTAGCATAATCCCCGGGACCTTCGCGTGCATGTTACCTCCCTTCCCCTTACCCTCTACATCGGCGCATTTTATACCTATATCCAAACAGAGAAAGCCCTTACCATGACAGTCCCAAAACCACCGTCGCGGCCAGCATACACATACGTACGTACGTATGTATGTATGTATGTATGTATGTATGTATATAAGGGCGGTTTCTCCTGCTGGGACCAGCACGCATTAACACGCGCCAACGGGGATGTAGAGTGAAAGCCCCCGGGGGGGGGAGGGCCTAGCGCATGCGTTGTACTTCTTTTTTTCTACATAGTGCGGCTCTACCTACAGGAGGGCTTCGTGAAGATCTACTTACCCACTTTCCAAAACGTTTAGGCATTAGGTCTCAAATATCATGTGGATATTATCGTGTAATGAATGGCCCCTACAAGAATTTTTATCTTTTTTTGGTTCAGCTTTTGGCGCGGCGGTTTATCGCAGAAACAGCTGCGACAGCGGTCTGGGACTTTGAACGGATGCAGTTTGACGGTGCACTAGATGGTGACGTCGTAGTATAGTACGGGCAGATCCTGGCGCAGCGGCGGTGGCGGAGGAGGAGGAGGATGCAGTCGAGCATTGAGAGGAGCCGTCTCGGTAAGCTTCTCTTCCGTCAGAGCGGCTCAAGCTATGGTGTTATTTTTCCGACCTGCACAGGGGCGTTGACGCGTGTGCGGGCACGGGGGCCAGCGGCGGCGTGGCCGCGGCAGCCGAGGCCTCGCCGTGGGGTTGTGGCGGTCGCGGGCGCGCGGGGGCGGAGACGGATATGCGGTTGCTGAGGAGATGGAGGCGGCGATGGTGGAGGAGGAGAGGAGGAGGGGTTGGGGATGGGGATGGGTTGGGATGGGGGTGGGGTTGGGCGGCGAGGAGGGGTTGTGCTAGGCCGCTGAGAGACACGAGGGAGAGCTGCCTCGGTGAGCTTGCATCAGGGCATGTGCAACATGGGCATGTGTCATGCCCTGTGGTGTAGTTAGCCACCCTGCGCACATGTGTGTTCCTCTATAGACTTGGAGGAACGGACGGACGCAGCTCAGGCGGCCCCGTGTTTCAAGGCACGTGTGAGATGTGGGCAAACCTTGTTGATCGGTACCAGGAGGACATGCACAGAGTTAGGACCACAGGGCAGTACAGAATGCAGGTAAACAGGTTCAGGGTAAGTTTGGCTCTCTAAGCTCCCGGGAACTTACAGCTATCGAGAATGCGCCATGCTGTGAAACATTCTGCAGGCTATCCTACTTTCTAACTTTGGGGGATGGGGTGCGGGAGGGAAGGAGAAGGAAGCAAATTACATTGACAGAGAAATGCTTGTATAATCATCGGTTATGGGTTGGGATTCCAAGGAAAAGGATCGCAGTCTGGGCTTCGCGCACGAAAACAATAATAAAGCGGTTTTATGAATTAGCCCCAGCTGTCGGGAACTGGCTGCGCACGAGGCTTTTGCGGACATCTCAGGACATTTTCACTCGCTCAAAGGGAAATGCCGCTTCATGCCAGGTATCGCCCTAACTATGTACCTTTTGCAAGTTTCTCTGTCGCTTTGCCGCTGTCCATCTACTCACGCGACCGCAGCCCTTTCGCAGCGCGACTTGTCGATATTATCTTAATTTTTCTGAATTATCTTTCCAAAAATCATCCAGCGCCTACTGTTGTAATGAACTTTGTTGCTACAGCAGCTTCTCGCTTGCGCGTCCTGAAGGGAAAGACGTAAGAAATGCCTAAAACGAATATATACTAACGCTAATTTTCTTGTCCTTCTTTGCCAGATTGAGGCGCCGTGTTCACCTGAGCTCGCTGAAGCTTGTATATCGTCATCATCATCAACTACGCTCAACTGAGCTTGTAAACAATCATTCATCATCATTGACTACGTCCTCCGCTCTCGCTGCCGCCCGCACAGCGGCGAGTCTCATGACGCGGCAACTACGCTGCTATGGCGAAAGGAGCGAAACGCGTCATATGACCTTCGCAACCTTTACTGGCGTCAGAGGTGGAGACGTGGTCTCCTTATCTTCTATCCATGTCAAGGGAGATGAAACGCACAGATGAAACGCACCTCTTTTCGAGCGGGCATATCATAGCCAGTTCTATGCATTGGCGCGTTTTTCCTCATGGTTTTACGAATCCTTGGAACCCCATTGAGCACTACCACAGAAAAATACAAATGCGAGAAGAACCAAGGACGAACACTGCGCGAACCTACTCGTCGCCCCTGATATAATATACTTGCGAGCTGCGCTGTGCCATACGCTGTACGGCTACTTAAGTTCAGCGCGTGGTCTTCTGCACTCTTCCTGTTACAAGTAACTAAAGAATGCGGCAACTACTCTTGCAACAAACACGGTTCCATAAGTACGACAGAGATCCCGAAAGGGCAACAGCAGAGTGGTCTGACCGGAATAACTTAATCCACAACAGCTCCTGCCCGATTTTCCTGCAGCCTCAAATGAGGAACTCTCCGTATGGCCTACACACCTTCCGTGTGCCGTCCTGCGCTTACTTGCGCTCTTTGGGCAGGTAGTTGGTGGTTGGTCACCTCCTTGTCTCGCGCAGCTTTCCCGTCGCCATTCCGCCGCCGTTATGAAGGGAATGTGAATTCTCAAACCAAATTCTTAGGTGTGATGCACAGAACAAGGGGTATAAAACACACACACTGTGCACACACACATACATACACACACACACGTGCGCACACTGGTTTCCTCTTCTTAGTGAGAAACTCCACCCCCAGAGACCGATCAGGCCGGAGCTCGAGATATTAGGCGAGTGGAACTGTGTAGGTAAAGCCAACCTTAACCGTTACAGGTATCACAGAACAAGCTTTCAGTCAGAACATCATCTCCTTTATACCAAACATTCCATCTTATCTGTCGTACAGCCGTTAGTGTTCTGGCCGGAAGTCAACACTCCCCCTCGGACGGAACACTCGGGCGAATCCAACTCAACGAACACCCAGCCCTTCTCGAAACTGCACGAACTTCCCTTCCGGTAACGGCTTCGTGAGGATATCCGCTACCATGCTGGTAGTGGGACAGTACTCAAACTTCACCTGCCCCATAGATACCCTCTCACGCACAAAATGATGAATCACATCGATGTGCTTCGCACGTTCCGAAACAATCGGATTCTTTATCAAACTTAATGCTCCCTGGTTGTCACCCCAGATACGCATCACGTCGATCTCACACCCAAACTCGGGCAGAAGTTTCCTCAGCCAGAGCGCTTCGCGGGTAGCTAGGGACGCCGCCATATACTCGGCCTCCACAGTCGATGCTGCTACAGTCGGTTGCAACCGACTCTTCCAGCTGACGGCTCCACCGCCAAGGATAAAGGCATATCCAGTTGTCGAACGGCGGTTGTCTCGATCCACTGCCCAATCCGCATCGGCATAACCCTCAATTGCCTTGCTGTCCCTGGCAAAACATAAACCGAAACTCGCAGTCCCCTTCAGATATCTCAGGATATCCTTAGCAGCCTCCCAGTGAGCCTTCGCCGGCTCAGACATATACCGCGCTAACTTAAACACAGCATGCGCGATATCAGGACGCGTGCACACTGCCAGATACATCAAACCACCAATTAACTCTCGGTAGCGCGTTGCATCCAACAATACCTGATCGATATCACTAGTACGGCTCAAAACTAGACTTGGCGTCATAGGAACCGACTTAGGAACTGCATCCTCCATCCCGAACTTGGCCAACAATTCGGCCGTATACCGCTGCTGCGAGATTTTGACCTCGCCTAGCTCCTTGCTCCGACTGATCTCCATACCCAAAAAGAACGACACCTCCCCCAAATCACGGAGGTCAAACTCAGCCTTCAACTCTTGCTTTATACGGGCTATTTCCTCGCTTTTGTTGCTCGCGACTAGCAAGTCGTCTACGTGAGCGTATAGCCACACAACAAATGCCTGCTCTTCCAGCATAAAGAAGCTGGGATCCGCATCAGAAACCTTAAAACCAATGGCCTCGAGCGTTTCCCGCAACTTCTGGTGCCAAGCTCTGCCTGCCTGACGTAAACCGTACAACGCTTTCCGCAACAGACACTTCATACCTGCGCCACCCGTTTCAAAACCAGGCGGTTGGTCACAATAAATCACCTCCTCCAGCGTCCCGTTGAGGAACGCAGTGCGCACATCTAGGTGGTGTACCTCAAATCCTTCAGCCGCAGCCTTCGCCAGGAATGTACGCAACGTCACCTGATTGCTACCAGGCGCGAATACCTCATTGAAGTCAACACCTTCCTTCTGCTTATAGCCCTTTGCTACCAACCGGGCTTTGTATCGTTCCACTTGTCCGTCTACACCCCGCTTCACGTCGTACACCCACTTCACCGGAATCGGTTTCACCCCAGGCGGCGGTACCTTCAGCTCCCACGTATCTAATGCGTGGATAGATCCGATTTCTTCGGCAATCGCCTCCTGCCATTTGTCCCGTTCCGGAGAGGCCATCGCTTCCTCGTAGGTGCTCGGGATTTTGACGTCCGATACGTTA